CGCCACCTGCTGGAGAGCGGCGGGAGCGCGGCCGCCGCGCCCGGCGCGATTCCCGGCGCGGGGATTTGGGAGGAAAATCCCAAAAGAGAAGCGGGAGCGCCCCGGGCATCGCCACCGCGGGGCACCGCAGCAGCCGCCTCCGGGGATGGGCGGCCGGGGAGCGGTGACACCCATGAGCGCTGCTCACGGTCAGAGGGAGCATCTCCAGCTCCCTCTGAGCGGGATCAGAATACCCGAGATGATAAAATAACCCCCTCCGGCATGCGTGCTATGGATAGTCATCCTCGTCTAATGACAAGGAGGAACGTCCTGGCTCTCCATACCCCTTGGGATATTGTTATCCATCTGTTTGGGTTTTTTGTTGTTTTTGTTTGTGGGTTTTTTCCAATTTATTTTTTAAGGCGACAATCTGCTTTATTTCGCAGCGATGGGTAACGTGACAAAAGTTAAGCTACTGTGCTTCTACAACACAGACAAGGAATGCTCAAATTAACATTGACCTTTTCATGCATAGAAGGTCGGTATAGTTTTGTAGGAAACAAAGTGTTTTCTGTTCAGCACAGATGATGGATTTAGAACTGCTTGTACTGTAACATAAATAATACAACAAAATACTCTAAAAAGGTCTGTTAGATCATTCTTTCCAGTAAGCCATTCATTTAATCTAAAGTCCTAGGAAACACAGTGCTCTGAACCCTGAACCTCACTGACCAGTGTTTAGCAGTAAATAAAACAAATCCCATTGCTAAATCAGAATATCAATTTTAAGCCTGACATGACTGAATTTCAGCTGATTTGCATTCATTACAGAAATACCATTGTGGTAACAATACATTTCCAAACGAGCTTAGAGGGATGGTTTCTTGGCAGCCTGAAGGTAGCACAGTTGCTGCCAAAAGCCGTGCTCCTCCTGCAGCTCTGGTGGTCACACTGACCTGGCTGAGCTGTGCAGAGGGCCAAGCCGAGCCCACCCTCTGCACCATCATTTATTCATTGCTATCAATATGAGAAAATCTGTAGCTTGGGCAGGACAGGGGGAAAACAGGATCATCTCTTTCACAGGCTTAAGCCACCTGGGAAACTACCCCTGAGGCCTTGGAAATGTGAAGATAGCAAATAATGGAAGCTCATTAAGACCAACAAAAAAGAAAATGATTACATTCTTTTTTCCCTCCTTCATGTATACTGTAAATATAATTCCTGAAAAGCAGACTTGAAAGTAAGTATTATTTCAAAGGCATAGCACTTCCAAAAGGACAAGAATTTTTCAGTATCTTCAGGCTTGCTTCAGTCCTTAAGTCTCTGGATCAAAATTGACTTTCTTGTGACTTCACTGATGACAACTGGTACTTCTTTGTATACACTTGCACCAAGGCTGGTAATCTTTCATCTCATCAACCACCCTCCATGATCCAGTGCTGCAATCCTGTGCCAAGAGATGCAGCTAATTTCCTGTCTGTGTACGGTGCTGATTCTTTCTTTTGGTTTCACAGCGATAGAAAACTATATGTTAGTCCACAGTAAAAATAAATAATTGCAAGAAGAGCTTGCGTAGGTCTCAAAATCTTGTGTTCAGCCACTGTTTCCCGTGTAAATCTGGTGTCCATACAGAGTTCCCAACGAGGCCCAGCAAGAACTTGGCAAGGAGTTGGCAAAGACTTAGCACGGACCCAGCATGGAGCGCCCTACTGCAATTCCTGGTTCACTCTCCACCCTTAAGCTGAATGAACTGTTGGGGTGACTCTGGTGGTCTCTCACTGAAGACCCCTCATCTGCCTTGCTACCACTGTGACAGACAGAGATCAAGACCCCTCTCCCCAAGGACTGAGACTGAGACCCCTGCCACAGACAGTAGCGGGGAGAATGACCTGACCTGTTCTCCAGTAACTTCAATGGACTTAATCTTCATTGTGTTTGTCCTGCCTGGATGATTTTCTGTAGATACACCTGTTCCCCCCACAGCAACTTCAATAGACTCTCATTGTTCTGCCTGTTCCCCCTTTTTCCCTCTGTGGACTATAACTGGACCCCTGGGTTAGGTAGGACTTTGGAGACTCTCCCCAACACAACAAGATGGATCCCCATCCCATCCCACCTTCTCTCTCTCTCTCTATCATTTTATTTCTTTTCTGACCCCACTATGGCATTTATTGTTTTGGCCCCTAATAAAGGTGCATTTGTTGTGATTAAACTGACAGTCCCCTGCTGTTTGTCCTTTGCACTTTGGGATCAGCTAAGGAACCATCACAACACCCAGCTACAAGAGGATCGTGACAGCATCCAATTCAAATTGAGCACGTGTAATCTCACAGTGACACTCACTGTGAGCATAGAGCACACACAGCGTGAAAGGAGTGTCCCAAGGAGTGCTCAGCTCCCAAAATCAGTGTCACATAGGAGCTCTGAATTTTAATAGGGGTCATTACCACCAAGCTCCTGTGAGCACTGTGGAAAAGGCAGAGCCTTTTAACCGTGCCAGGCTTCTGTGTGCTGCACAAGGGGTGCAGGTGCTGCTACAGGTTCTCCAGCTCGTGGCAGGATGGGGGAGTCCCATCAGACTCTACCATGGAGGTGTACTTCATTGGAGGCGGCGGTGGCTTGAAAGATGGAGGTCTGCTCATGCTGGAATAGAAGAGAGAAAATCACACAAAAGCAGCACAAAAGACAACTGTAAAATGTTCACAGGAGGAGGTGGATTGGCACCAAGTCATTATAAGAGCACCTGACATTAGCTCTTACATACTGCAACTTCCTTGAGCCTGTTTTACAACCCCAGCACACCTCCTGCTATTCATTTGGCTTTCTTAGTTCCCACCTCACAGGTTTTTTTCATTCATGTTTTAAAAGGACAGAACATAGCCCTGATGAACTATTCAAAACCCTTGCATGGGCCTTTTGCTCACACTGCTCTCTGAAAGTATATTTAAAGACTTGTAACTTTTTTTTTTTGATCAATTGATAAATAAAGGTCCCATCTCAAATTAGTTAAAAAAATCAATCCTGTTTTTATTTTTGAGATACAGGATTTGCAGTTGTGTTTCAAGAGGGTTTTCTAGAATCATAGCTGATTAATTATGATTTTTGGAGTATATTAGTAATGGTAGTAAGATTTTAAATAATTGTCTCTTAGATATTGCTTTCACCAGTAGATCCTGGAGTGCTTTAGTAGGGAATCAAACTTTGGTAATAATTACATACTCAATGCTTCTTTGACTGGTATTGGTTTCGGGTACCCTACTTTCACATGTATTATTCAAAACTCAAATAGAGCTGCCCTAGAAGTACAATTTCATTAAAACATGTCCTCAAGTAACCATAGAAAATGAGAGAGCAAAAGCAGCTGGCAGGGAGGCTAATAGAAATGGGGGGCTCTGGGGACAAAAATTGACTGTTATTCTTCCCTGACACCCTGAAGCTGCACTGAAGCTCTTTTCTTAAAGTTTACTTTAAATATAACCCCCACAGAACAGATGAAAGGACTGAGAACACTACTTTACATACTGTTGTATTAAAAAAAATGGCATTAATGATCCATGCACTTGAAGGCCTTGTGTGCTATGTGTCATCTCAGATGAGAAGGTGTAAACCCAAAGAGCTGGGTTAGAGTTGGTGCTGCCCTGCCACGCCTGTGGCTCCATTCCCTGGTACTTACATCTCCTTTTGGTACTGACACCATTTCCTGATGCCTAAAGCTAGCAGAGCACTGCAGAAGAGGAGCAGGACAGCTACCACTGCTGGCCAGGGGAAGTGACTGGCTTTGGTGTTCCTCCCGTCACCTGAAAGCGAAACGTAAATTTTAAGGAATTTAGAGATTTTAGAGGAGCTAAGATTTGAGTTAGAGACAAGCCTTACTAGAGTTAATTAAAATAAATGAGTAGGACTTGATGAAGTTAGGAGTTAGTAGTTAACTAATCATTGATTGCTTGTCAGCACAATGTTTAGTTAGCTGGGTTTATAATGAAGAATACACAAACTGACAAAGAGCTTTTAGGAACATAAGACAATTGTGGCCTCCTCTGTTCTGAAACCAATTGAAGACAAGGAATGGGAGTTCTACCAAGAGTTCATTTGTCATATTTGCATTGAAAAGGCAGAAAGGTCAGAATGAGGAAGACTTCATTGACTTCCTCATTTTGGGACCCCTCCCCATGGAAGGTACATCGACCCATTTAAAGGGAGAAACTACACATGCTTAATAGCTTTTGGAGTGATTAGCATACAAAGTGAGGAATGGGATGTACCAAAATGATGAATATGCATTTGTATTTTGGGTATTCAATACTTGTATGGATAAAAGGACTCTGTAATCACCTGGAAGCTGTGGTGTAGATTTGGGAACCATCCCGCACACAATAAACACACACTTTCTAGCTTTAAACTGTTAGAGAGTTTTTGTCTGTCACAGCTGGATATCGGTATATGGATACCCATATTTTTTCAATAAATCAAAAGGGACACACAGAGCTCATCTGGATGTCTCAGAGAGGAGGGAAATTGGGGTTTGCTGCCTGTGCTCACTGCTCCCTGCCCTGCCCAGCGCTGCTGCCAGTGCAGCCCCCCATCACCAGGCTGAGCATCCCAAACTCCGAGCATGGCAGCTCTGATTTATGGACTTAGCCCTCTTCTGTTGTGAGTGGGTGTGTGAGCTGATTTCAGCCACCCGCTGGTTCACTTGACAGGATTATTTAGGCACGGCACAGAGAGCACTTCATCCAAAACCCATTGCCTTTCTCCGTTCCCCTGCGAGCTGCTCTGCGAGAAGCTGCACGTCACAGTGCAGACAGGCACGTCTGCCCACCCCAGCCCTCCTTCCCCATGGTTTGTTTTTCACACCACTGACACCAGACCCTGCCAAAGTGTCTGGCCAAGGGCTCAGCTGCCTTTGGAGGTCTCTTGTTGGCAGCATAGCATCCCAGTCCCATTCCAGCTGCCTCTCCCACCTGCAGTGCTGGGATTCCCCTTCCCCCTTCTGCACAGCACCCTTGGCAGTGCTGACAGAGGTGCCCTGAGGTCCTGGGTATGGAGAAGGGGCACAGCGGTCCCCCAGCTGCCAGAGGGTGCAGCAGTGGCCTGGGTGCCAGAAAGATCCATGGGTGGAATGCCTCCGTGGCACCTCCCGTTGTGCTGGCGTCACCACCCTGTGCCAGCACTGTTTTTGGCTGGCACTGTTGTCTGGCACTGTTTTTGTCACTGACACTGGTGTGTCACCCAGGCTGGGTCTCACCCACCATGGCAGCCAGGGCTCTGGCCAGTCCCCCACGCTGCAGGAGCCACCAGATTGCCCTGGGGCACAAGAGTGTCACTGACCCAATTTTGCTGCTGGATGAAAACATGCACTGAACTTTGCTTGCAGATGGAGGGAGAAGGCTGGAATGCCAAAAGCCTGTGACAACCTGTGATATGAGGATACAGCAGCTGTGACTCCTCTTTTCATCTCTTTTCCCTTTTTTTTGAAATCCCCTGGTCAAATGGATGTGATGCTCCAGGTTTCGTGCTTCTACAAGAAGAGGATTTGTAGAATAATGCCTCACCAGTGCTGTTCAGCAGGCTGCTGGTAGCAAAGAAATCTTTTCCTCTGGTAACTGAAATTGTCTGGTCTGTGATGCTGTAGGACAGGTTACCTATAAAGATACAGGCACAGAACATTTTTAGTGACTTACTTGGTTTTTCAAAAATGAAGGTTGTCTTTTGAACCCTCTGTTATTCACCCAGCTGTAAACAGGAAATCAGATTCCAGGATCAGGGTGTAAAAATTCACTTGGCAAGATGCCTACATTTTTGGCCTATGACCTGCTGTTGGATAAAAAAAATGTGCTTTCATCAAATGAAATATTATAAGAAGGTAAGGGAAGGGGAGAGGGAAGAGGAAGGGAAGGAGAGAAAGAGAGAAAAAGAAGGAAGGAAGAAGGAAGGAAGGAAGGAAGGAAGGAAGGAAGGAAGGAAGGAAGGAAGGAAGGAAGGAAGGAAGGAAGGAAGGAAATAAAGAAAGAAGGAAAGAAGGAAAGAAGGAAAGAAGGAAAGAAGGAAATAAATAAATAAATAAATAAATAAATAAATAAATAAATAAAGAAAGAAAGAAAGAAAGAAAGAAAGAAAGAAAGAGGGAGACTGTTAAGATGTTCCAGCAAGCCAGCATTGATCCAGCTTTAAGCAGCACAGTTGTCTGGGAGAATAATATGCTTTTTACCTCTTTGATGGTAATGAGAAACCTAAAGATATTAAGTGGCTTAGCAGCAACATAAAGTCTCTGCTTGTGTCATGACTGAGCAAAACCTCAGTCTCCTCTGTCAAGTACTGTCTGAACCACAAAAATAATCTATCATCTGTTTACAGACAGTTTTCCCCCTTCCTCCTGGTGCTTAAGATCAGTGCTCCATAAGGATACATTTCTGTTTTTTCTGGTCATCTCCAGCTAGAGATTCACAGCTTCTGAAATAATAGCTAAAATACTCAATTAGACAATGGCACAGCATTACCAGAGCTCCCACGGCACTGCTGATGTGTGGAATCATTCAAATTTGTACAAAAAGAAATAATGACCTTCAATTATCTTACAAGCCTGTACGTGACTACTTCATTAGGCTGTACTGTGACTATTTTGGACTCTTTGACTTTCTCTGATGCACACAACAAATGAAACAACAGAGGAACCTGAATGCCTCTGATATAACTGCTGATTTATAAATCCAGACAAAAACCCAGCTTTAAATGATGTACATGACTAACCAGACAGAACCAAGAAAATCTCTTTATTGTGAGATGCTTGCTGGCTTTGATTGAAGTTGAGACTTCAAGTGTGTGTGTGTATGTATATATGCATTAAAATGACATATGAAAATCAGTCCAGTTTTAGGGCACTCTAAAAACCCACAAATTTTTGGATATTAATTCAGTTCCTTTCTACTTAGTACTAGTTCTTTTTGATTTTCTGTGAATAGGTATGACCCATCTCACATTTGCAAAATGCATGGCATTTTACAAAGTTATAACCAAAAAAAAAAAAAGGATATACACTTAGAGATGTGTTAGCACTGTGCTCTATACAGCACATGGATGAGCACTATTTATTCTTATTTACACAATGGCTTATGTTGGAGCATCCCAGGACCACAGTGATAATGGTAATCACTGCTGTAGAGCCCAGTGGCCCTGGGAGGGCACAGGGATATTTGTGTATTCCTCAGCAGACTCACTGGTGCCTGTGTGCTCTGAAACTCCTCTCAATCACAGCTGCTGGACCAAGAACCCATCCAGGCCATTATCTCTTAGCTGCTGCTCAGGCAGGCACAGCTGTAGGGAAGCAGTGGCAGGGATGTGGGGATGAGTGGAGCAATACACCCTACAAATAGCAGAGGAATTCAGCACCCTTTTAGCAAAAATTGCAACCAGCAAGCTGTGCAGGAGCAGAATTGTGAAGCACTAGAAGGTGTCACAAGGCTGTGGTATAAATGCATGCTTGTGGGTTATACAAGGGTAGATAAACACCAGAGTTCCACCAGAAATACACTCACAAAATGGAAAGTGGCTGCTACGTTTGTGCCTCAGCCAAAAGACAACTCCCATGGAAATGCAAAAGCACACTGACAGGTCCTGCCTGTTCCAAAAGCACAAAGGCAAACCAAGATGTTAGAAAAGGAAGACACTTTCAGCTTGATACTGCTGAGCAGGGATTTTCTAAAGGGAAAGATTAGTGAAAAAATGTTCGCCCTAGGGGATTTTTTATTGATTTATTGATCTTTAATGAGGCTGTCTTTCAATGTTCTATTAACCAGCCTTTATTACTTCACATTATCTCATTATTTCACTGCTGCTCTGCGATTTTATTTAGCTTCTGTGGCAATTTATTTCATCTATAAACTACCTTCAGCACTCACTACATTTGCCTAGCAACTATCTCAATTGTAATATTATTAAAATAAATATATCTAATGAAACCAGGGTACTCAAATGTTTTTTCATTCCTCTTTTGCCACTGCAAATCCTCGACAGCTTGGAAACCCAAGCCTTTGTCTTCTGACTCAGTGGAACTCAAGAGGGAAATTGCTTCTATGGGGTATTGAAAATCTGGTACGTTACTCCACGTGGCTTTGGCCTCTGCTCAGACACGACTTTTCCATGCTTAGTAATAATTTTTGCATGGTAATGTGGGGACTCTCAACTAGCAGCAGAAAATAAGCACCACAGAGCTAATGCTCTGAGAAAAGACATCACAAATTGAGGACCTTTGCTGGTGCCACATTTGCTTTTTTGGCTTCATAACTCCTCTGTGGCAGTCCTGTGAAGCAAAGGAGATGTGTTGTCTACTCACGTGCTGTTGTCAAAGTCTCACTGGATGCTGTGGCACCTTTTGCCTCTGTGGTAGAAGTCAGCGCTCCTGCTGAAAAGAACAAAGGCTTGTAAAAATTGCTGTAGGGAACCATATCACTTGTTTTTAATTTCCCCAACTCTTTCCTTCCTGTTTTCTGACTGATGAGGTCAAACAGGTTTAGCTTACTACTTGAGCTGCTGGCTGCTCTCAAGCAGGTGTTACACAATGCTGTGTCTGGTTTGAAAGCTTATCACAAGCTAGAAACTCAAGAGGAGTTTTGCTGAGATAGGTAAATAAACTTAGACAGAATATTTGAAGAATTTTTATATCTCAGCTTAGTTTCAGGTGAACCTCAGGAGCATGAGTGCACTGGCTGTTTTGGCCTGAAACCAGTAGAGCAATGAACAAACATACATAAATCAGAATTTAGACAGGATGTCACCAGCTCCAGTGAAACAGAACTGTTTTCCCAACTAGCAAAAGGAAGTTTTGAAAAAGTTAGAGTACAAGAGTCACATCTGCAATGTCTGATGCCAAATACCAACTTATTTGACATTTTCCTTAAGGCATTTTTTAAGTGCTAAGATTTCTAGAGCTCAGCTAGGTATTTAGCTGATATTCAAACACAGACAGATGGTGGCTAGCATGTAGACCTTCATTTTCCCAAGAGAACTATTTCACATTTGCTAAAAAGAATCTGTTTTTCTTAACAACTGTCTCATCTTGGAAAAACATCAAGCCATCTGAACAAACCTGAGAAGGTGAACTGCAGCTGTAACTGATCACTCAGAGCTCAAGCATCTCTGGCTCAGTGATGGAGCAGTTGTGGCTGCTAAGCAAAACCAGGCTGCAGTTTTAGCAGCCTTGGTTTTGCTCCCCCTCTTCCTCCTCTTGCCTATATATGTGCACTCTTCTCTCAT